GATGGGGAAAGAGTATATTGGAAGTGAAAGCTACACTGAAACCGGGAAGCAATGTCTCATATGGAGTGATATACCCAATTCCGCAAGCCTGCCATACTTCATGTTCTCCCATCTCTCCTATGAAGACCGCCAAGAACCTCCAGAGGATCTGAAGAAAAACTTATACCGTTGGGTATCAGAGCAGAGCTTGAACTACTGCCGTAATCCAGGAATGCAAGAGCGGCCCTGGTGCTTTGTCTCATACAAGGATTTCAGCTGGGAATATTGCAACATCCCATTCTGCGACAGTCCTAAAGGTTTGATTCTCTCATTCTGGAATTGCTTAATTCTTTTCAAAACTGGAAATGCAATTGTCATGGAAGTCGGAAACTGTGAACACATTAGACCCTGGTGCACACCAAAATGAGAATGCTCAGGTTTTGCTTCGGTCAATGTGGACTCATTGGCCCGCAAGTATCATTGTCATTTTATTCATAACACATCAGTAATTAATTAAATGAAAAGTGAAGAGAAAATAGTATTTCCGTACAATACAATTGCGTGTTGAATAGGTTTGATAATTTTCCTGATTTCCAACTGAAGGGCACGTGTACTGTGTGACTCAAGAAGTCTATTTTTTTTGGTGGCGCGTATGGTATAAATCGATTCTTCATCTCCTGAACTGTTTAGTGCAAGATGAATGTGGGGCAAATTTCACTTTCGAAGAAACAACAGAAAAAGAGTTCTGGTTATTATAACGTTCGTTGATTAATATCCTTCAGAACGTTGGAAAGAGCGGAACCTGATAGAATAACATGTACCCAATGTGGTAACAATCACCTTTGAATAGGGCAGGAATTCAGAAGGGAAAATTGAATATGGAACTGCCTCGTTGGTTACAATTGATAGTCATAAATTATTTCCCGAAAAAAAATTCAATTCCATGAGACACGTTGAACGATGGAGATAAACATGCAATCCCCCCCAAAAATGATGTGGCAACCATCTGTTTCAGCCAAGGACGCCATTATCAATAGAACATTTGAAACAGCACTGCAATCTTTGTGACGGATGTGCAGAACTTTGTAATAGTATACTCAGTAACATTGAGTGTCCGAATTACCGTGACCGAGTGATTTCAGAAGAAGTCACGACCAATTGTCTTCAGGATTGAGATCATTATGACCTTGAAGTTACAAAATGTCAGGGTTAAATGTTGTCCACGTAGTTTTGTGAAGAGTAGGTTTCCCCACACGATGGGTATGGGGATGAGTGTCATCTTCATGGATGATAATCAGATCTGTGCACCTGAGAATTGCGAAAGTTCGAACTGTGTAAATAGTATGTAAATAGTATGATGATCTCAGTGTAATATCCTTCTAGATGAGGTTCCTCAAAAAAGATTAGGCTGACATATGGAGTCATATGGCTGACATATGATGTGAAACCGCATCAGTAACTTTGGAGCCATGCAATTGTGCTTGAATTACGACATGAAGACTTTCGTCAGGCCCTGCGAGCGACCTTGTTCTTGTTCACGACGCCTTGAGGGTAGTTGAAAAGTCACATTAAGTTTATTTCGGTATTGCATATGATATCAATTACTTCGTGAACAACTCTGTACCATGTATGAAGGGTAACTCAGGGTAAACGATATTTGCCGCTAAAAACCGACAAAGCTCGCAGATATGAAAAATGTCATCCTACAATAAGTTTTACAAATGCATCGCAGCCAAGTTTACAGTGCTGTCAAATTTTCCCTTGCGAATGGCTTCTCTTGTTAAAACAAATGGTACTCATATTGAACATGAATATGAACATAACACATCCCTTTCTCTCTTTCTGTCGCAATATATCCATCGTTATAAATTCATTGGAATAACCACGAACATTTAAGCTAGTCACACAACTTTTCCTGTCGTTTCATCTAAAGTCATTTTACCCCTCACTCATGCTACAATCAAATGCTCAGGAGAAGGTGAGAAATCGATCGATACAAGAACTGCACTTGTAGATACGGAACAAAAAATAAATGACGTCACTTTTGAATCCCCCTGTATTTGCCTTCATTCATTTCAGGTCAAGCATCAACATAAAATATTGCAAAGCTAGGATTTTTACGCAATTCATGTCATGCATTCATGAATAATATTTAATCATCTACTGCACAATCTCAAAATAATGTATTTCATTGTTAATACATTCGGTCACTCATCCCCTTCATAGAGCCAGTGGAATGTAGGCTGACACGAATGGGAATGGAGTACGCAGGGTTGAAGAACGTGGATGCGGATGGGAGAAAGTGTCAACGCTGGTTGAGCCAGACCCCCCACAAACATTCCATGCTCCTTCATCTGTTGGAATTCCCCGATTCTGGTTTGGATAGCCACCACAACTACTGCCGGAATCCAGGCGATAGAGGCATGAGTGGTCCGTGGTGTTACCCCGAAGGGAGCAATGAGAAGAAGTCATGCGGTATCCCTTTTTGCTGGGAAGCATATAGACAAGTTGCTATTGCTGGTATGAACGTTGGTTGTTCCATGAACATGGGAATTGACAAATGTGAACATTTCGAGAAAAAAATGGTAAAACCTTCTCGGATTTAAGAGAATGCATTATGTCATGCTGTAGCTATAACGCGAATAATAATAAATATGTTCAATATAACCATGGAATGAATGCAAAGCTGTCTGCTGTTTACCCCTTCTAAAATAAAAAGCTCTGCATGACATTGGGACGAGAAGGTTACGGCATGAATCGGAGACAATACTGTTTTGAATGTGGCAGGAAAGCCGGCGAAAGGATATCCGGAATGTCTCCAAAGCGCAAAGGGAGAGGAATATGTGGGTACAACGAGGAAGACAGAGACCGGAAAAGAATGCTATTTGTGGGATTCTAAACCCTATGGAAAGACTGACGACTTCGATCCATCCGAAAGCTACGAGGATCACTTCCCAGACAATCATGATAAAACAACTACGGCAGCGGAAAACTTTTGCAGGAATCCAACTTCAAAGGAGAGACCCTGGTGCTTCGTTGCCGATGCAGACAAAAAATGGGAATATTGCAACATCTCAATCTGCCCAGACTACCCCAGTAAGTTTGGTATTGTACTTTTGTTGTCCAATGCTTTAATTACTGAGAAATAGCTTAAAAGAAAATATATTTATGGGTACTACTGAAACTTCAGCTGCTATGTATTAGAATGCATTTTGGTACAGATAACCAAGAAAAAATAATCATGGATACCTGGATATGTCAACAAAAGTTGCTAAATGGCATTGCTTGGAATGACCAGGAGGTCTATGAGTTATAGTGAAGATATGATCTGGCAAGATGTATCCCACTTTTGAATTTGTAGTACTATAACTCTCCAACTAGATTTGGTACTTGAAACTCAATACCCTTTTCAGAAAGCAATGATTCTCATATGCTATTACACACATGCTGGTAGTCAATTTCTACACCATATCTTGAGTATGAGAAAACTCAATGAGGCTCGCCCATTATAACCGTTTCTGGTTATTTTAGTTTTTAATAGTCATTAATATACGGGGTGGTGCGTAAATACCTCCGGGATTTTAAGACGAAATAAAACTCTCACGAAAAATGACTTCATCCTGAAATATTTTCCCATTGCATTCTAGGCATGTGGAAATTCCAAGACAATCACATTGGTAGGTCACTTGTGGAAAATGGCACCAAGGTGGCCCCCATCGCGCTCGACACATTCTTACGCGAGGTTCATTGCATCAAGCATGACACGCTGCAACATCGAGACGGGCACAGCTGCTACTTCTTTCTGCATGCAACTTTCGGAAGCTTCCATGGTTGCAGGGCGGGTGTCGCACACTTTGATCCTCAGATATCCCCACACAAAAAATTCAGGAGCTATTAGGTCCGGCGACGGCGATGGCCAATGAAGATCCCGATACCTCGAAATCACGCGCCCAGAAAGATTCTGCTGAGGTCATTCATGCTTATCCAGACGGTGTGGACCATCGCAACATTTGCTGGAACCGCATTTCAGGAGGAAGGCCACGTCGCGGAATTTCCACGTCTAAAAATGATTGCAACCTTTGGACGTAGCGTGCAGTGTTGATGATGACGTGTCACCCTCGTCGTCCTTGGAACGGTACGGGCCGATCGCTCTGCCGACCCTGCAACCTTGGAAGCTACCGAATGTTGCATACATAAAAAGTAGCAGCTGTGCCCGTCACGATGTTGCAGCGTGTCATGCATGATGTAGTGGACCGCGCGTGAGAATGTGCCGAGCACGATGGCGGCCAACCAATGTGATTGTCCTAGAATTTCCACATGCTCAGGCTGCCAGGGGAATAGAAATCACTAAGAAGTCATTTGTCATGAGTCTTTTATTTCATCTTGCAACCCTGGATGTATTTATGCACCACCCTGTATCTATTTAGTTTCTGTTGGCTTTTAAGGTTGCCTCAACTCTCCTGGGCATGCTCTCAGTCGGCTTGAGACATTCCATTTCTTAAATGATGCTCCATACCCCGTTGTGTGTAATCTCCATGCCCATAATCCGTAGGCCTACCCTAAAATTGAAGAACGGTTGAATTTGACACGTGGACTCCAAGTGAATGTTATCGCCTCTCCATACCACTAGACTACCTTGATACGTTGAACACGAATTTCATTTGCAATAGCACACATACTTTCTGTCAAATGTATCGTTCGGAACTATGACCACAAATGGCTCATTTTCATACAAGTCTTAACGATTTAACTGAGGGATCCTTTGCAGACGAATGAGAACACTAGACGAAAGCCACCACCAAGCACAGCCTCTTTGACAACGAATGGACTGTTATCTTCCATCGAGTCTCACAACGCCCGTTCGATCGTTACCAGCGCTTTAGGAAGCGCCAACGGCGCTTCGTTTCAGACGATGTCAGTAGCCTGAATCACCTCTTGAATTTTGCTCGATGAACAAAACGTTTTACGCGTGAGCAGATCTAATGGCCAGTCGAAGACCGTGTGACATGTCATACCCCGAGACCTCAGTATTGCAGCAAAGCAAATTCACGCAACGCTCATGAACATTCAGACCTCTTCCATGCAATACGTGAAATAAGTCTTGTGTGTGGTAATGTTTTGCTAATGCCAACTGGTCGTCCGGCGTTGAAGAAACAGGGAAATTCCCTTCCCAAGTTTTCCTGCGCCACCGCATTTGAACTCCCTCATTCGCATCGTAAAGAGAGAGTTGATCATACGCTGGTTGCTGATTTTGATTTAGTGAGGATCGATATCATGAAAATGTTGTAGGTTGGTCATAGTCAGGTGTTAGAAGCCGCCAATTTTTTAAAACAGTATGGGCCTTTAACGGAATGTCAACAATCGTTGCATTGAATGAAGCAAACGCATTTGCGCTGTTGTACTGCCTGATAAACTCATGAAAATTGTGAGTCCTTGCATCGTTCCATATCAACAGCGTTTAGAACTTTGGTGGATACTCCAACGGGTTCGTATGGAACACCTCATCATTATGACCACAATTGCACGAAAGTTTGCTTTTCTTCGTTTTAAAATGACCCTCGGACGCATATTTACGTTTCCTTCATCGTAAGTGTTGCAGTGCGCGAAATAAGGCTCACACATAAATGGCGAAGTACCGTTAAAAACATCCCGGTGAAATAATTAATTCATCCCACCTTTTCTATGAACTGGAAAGGCGAAGGTTCTTAGACCTATATGCTACCACGCCTATGATCTGGAAAGCGAAAGGCTCGTAGACCTATCGGCTACTTTGCCTATGTCCTATATGAGTACAAACATCAAAGGAATAACGGCTACACGTACCATCAAACGCTTCAGCATATTTTAACATAACGTTCCATGGATGGTTGGATCTCGGGAACTTTTCCTACTTGTTTTGTTGGATTAAGTTCATCGCCGACTAGAAGGTTTTCATGGAGAAAATGGCAGTTCCCGAAAACAAGATTGGGTGTGGTGTAAAGCATTCGATTCTGGATGAACGAGTATCACCGATGAAGAAGGGCTGGATCGACAGAGCACCTCGTCAAAAGATGCGACTATCGGAAAATTTAGGGAATGACTTAAGGGAACAGGCATTGGAAAATTCCTCTGATCGTTAGAGATCTTGATATTTCAAGCAGAACTGTGTTCCACATTATTCGTCATATATTTGGGTATCGACATTTTGTGGCCGGAGGGTGGTAAAGAAATGGGGGCTGTTCATCGACTTCCCGGAAAGAGATCAAACTGGTAACGATGCCCGCCCGCTACGATGAGACTGTCAATAAACTTCGAGAATGCCTTCTTCCCCGGTCTTCTTCGTCAAGGCATTATTTTGCTCCACGATAATGCGCGGCCTCACACGGCCACTCAGAGACCCTGGCACCGCTGGAACAATCCCGCTGGGAACTTCAATTTCTGTGTGGGGTGGTTTCTCCTCGACGAGTCATATCCATGACGAAGGCCATGGAGAAGACTAGAGATTTTTTTCATAATTACGCTCAAACAGAAATATTTAAATATATATATCTTAATCTTATATAGTAATTCCTATTGATTCAAGGCGATCGGTTTCGAATACCCTGTCAGACGAACATATTGGGGGAATATCTAGCTTCTGACATAACAAGTGATTAATAATACTGAATCCCTTGTTTTGTTGTAGATCGAGTGGTTAAGGCAGATCCGAACCTTTAGAGAAGTTCTGAAAAATGAAAGTCTCGTGTACAATTTACGTGAGTTCATTACAAATAAAGGCAATAATTAATTATTAAAATAAACAGTCATACAGTGTACTTATTCAAGGAATTCAACAATAATTATAGAAAAGGCTTCTTAAGGCACTTTAGATTAAATGGAACTTCTTTAAAAGGATAACAGCAATCAATATACGAAAGAAAATTAGATGGGAGAAGAATTCGACAATCAAACTTCTGACCTTTAATGAATATTCATTATGTTACTATATTATCTCTCCTTCTCTCGCTCCGGCCCCACTTCCTCACAAAACCAAGGTAACGAAGCTAATAAAATAGCTTGGTGGTTGGCCTGGAGTCAGCTCCGGATCTGGTAGGTCCGAAATGTGTTTTCATTGGGATTTTAAACTAATTGATATGAATTCATTTCATCGTAAAACATCATGATGAAAGGTAAGAGGAAGGTGTAGGAAACGTTAGAACAGAATGGGAAAAGATTCCCGCAACTATTCTTCGCACTTCAAGAGGAGTACGCATTATTACGAGGGGTGTTTACAAAGTTCTGGGAATTTTGTTCTATCCCTGCAACTGCTGATCAAAGCCTACCGGAAAGTTGGTCACACATGTTTATTCTTGTCATAAACACGACTGGAAAATATTATTCACTGGACGTGCATCAAGAGGAAGATACCAGTGTTCGCGTAGGGTACATTTTGGATGGAAGACGCGATAAAATCTTAAAGAGCTCCATTTCCTTTTTATGAAAAGAAGATGTTAGGAAGTCTGAAATTATTCAACGTTCGAAAGCTGTTTTTGGTGAATCTTCTGAATCTAAAAGTACCGTCTATCGCTGGATTTATCTCTTTAAGAATTGAAAAACGAACCTTGAAGATTACATCCTCAGGGGCGGGCTAAATACTGCCGTTAACGAAGAAAAGGACGTTGCTGTGAAGATAATATTAATGGAAGAGAGACAACTTACCATTCGCGAGATTGCAGCAAGTGAATTCATCAAGTGAATAGTCTATGAAATTTTACATTACCGTGTTGGAGTGAGCATGGTTTCTGCACAATGGGTACCTCGGTTGTTGGGGCCAGAACAGAAACTTAATCGTGTGGAGGTTTTTTTTTTACCGAGTTTTTGGCTATGCAGGAACAATATGTGGATAGTTTCTGGCAACGAATCATCACGACAGATGAGACCTGGATACCTTACTTTAATCCAGAAGCAAAAATTCAGTCCATGGAATGGCGGCGACCTTCTGATGGCCGTCCGCTTAAAGCAAGGACTTTGCCATCAGTTTTTAAGATTATGATAACGGGGATTTTGGATTGCTAGAGAAGAATCTTGATTGATTATCTATTGATATAATGAATTTTCCACAATAAATGCCCACTATTACTCTGATTAGCTGAAGGGACCACGGCGTGAGGTACTCAAGAAAAAACGGTCAGGGAAGCTCCATTCCCGACTATAACTGCAGCAAGAAGATACGAGGCAGCAAAGTCTTACGAAAGGTGTTTTGTCAGATATACGCTGGGAATTGCTGCCATGAACTCCAGACCTGGCTCCCGGCGACTATCATCTGTTTGGGGAAATGAAGAAACCTCTTCGAGGAATCCATTTTGAGCCTCTATCTGAAGAAAATACGATAAATGAGTGAATAGAACGTATTCGTCAAAAGGTCTCTCAATATTGACTAAATAAATTATCTACTCTCTGCCAACAAATGTATACAGCTAAATTTTGAACATGTTGAAAATTTGCTCTGTAATGTCGAAGAAACTTAGTCTAATAAAAAATTAGCACGCAAATTGCCAGAACTTTGTAAACGCCCCACGCAATTCCTCCTTCATATTGTCTAATTACCGTAAGAGTACGTCAGTCATGTGCGTCTAGGGAAACGAGAGGGAAAGTTCTCGTTTGGAGGACAATGAGGCGAAAAAGAAAGACGACCCCTTTCTTCACAAGTATTAGGATTTTAACTTTAATGTACACCATAATAAATACGACTGCACAACAAATGAAACTGGACTCTGAAAATAATGGAGCAAGTGATCACATTAAACTCCTTTCGCCACTCACGAGCAACTCGTCTGGTCGAATCAGAAGGTGATAGAGTGAAGACGCCATGTTCTCTCATGCGTTTGCGTGTGAATTCCTCAGCAATCAATGCATAGGCAGGAGACCTTTGACAAGGAGCCTATCTTCCATACGATGAAATGAAACACGGAAGTTGACATTCGTCTAGGCTCTAGACGATGCAAAGCAGCTCAAACTACCCTTGGCGTCTCAGCAATAGACGCATTTTCTTTTTGCAGTCGATTTTCTAATAAATCGAAATGGAAAATTGAGCAAAGTGTATCATTTTGATTTATCTATTTCTCTGAGTTTATATTCCGCCAGGTGCATCCATCCATTATTCGTAATAAGATACTAGATAACAAGTTAACACCCAAGAGAAGGCCTGGAGCAGTTTACGCGAGAAAGGCTTATGTTTTGACATGAACGAATTTATATGTTTCTTCATTTTCTCACTAGAAACGATGGAATGCAAGTTCACAGAGAGTGGAATGGAATATGCAGGGATGAAGAACACGACCTTCTTGGGGCAGCCGTGCATGTCGTGGAATGTCTCTGATATTGGTAAGATTCATTGGTCGCGCTTCCAGGAGAACATGAAAATTGAGAGTCACAATTTCTGTCGCAATCCATATGGCGAATATGGGAATATCGGGTGTTGGTCTGGTCATCCCCCTGGATTCGTACTCTGCGGCATTCCTTTTTGTCCTTTCACATACTTCAATTGACGCAGTTGAAAGCAGAATGCATTTCGGTAGCTTAATCTTGCTTGTT